TATTTAAAATCATATCTTTAGTGTGCTTTTTTTCCAAAACTTTAGACAATCATAGAACTTTTGGTATGTAGTTATTCACACACCCAAGTTAATGATTAAGATTATAAAATAGTTCTACTTTTTTTAAGTCTTGTTGAATGCAAAATCTTTTTCACTCACCTTTACCATGGCTGTTTGAGATTTCAATGGAGGCAATTTCTGAAATCAACCTTTCTCTGACAAGTGGAAGATCAAAATTCTCTTTGATAAAATAGGCAGCTTTCGGAGCTAATTGCTCACTATCAGAACCGTCTGCAGTGTTCACTTGTATTTCAAAGAAAACAATTCCTCCACTTTTAAGCCTTTCCACTTTTTCAACAATTTTTTCATCTGATGATTTCCCACTTGCCATGATGAGTATCTGTGGAACTCCCTGCTTGTTACGACTTCCTGATGATGAAGTAAAGATCGTGTTTTGCACAAAGTCAAGGGCTTTTTCAGAGTTTACATGAGATCCCCCTTTCAGTTTTACTTTTCTCAAATGATTCAAGACATCATGTTTATTTGAGTATTTGTTCAAGACAAAATCTGCAGTGGGCTCCATGTTGTACTGGATCAAAGCAACTTGGGCTTTTCTTGGCCCAATTTCTATTTGCTTGACAAAGTCAATGACAAAGTCCAAAATCAGTCTTTCATTTTTTTGCATATGATCAGATCCATCTAGAAGAAATGCAATGTCGACACTCTGGAGTTCAGCTTTTAAATAAGTCAACGTACCTGAAATTGATAAAAACACTTTTTTTTTACAAAAACAGCTTGAACATACACGTCGTAACAAACAAAAAGCATTCTTCAAAGGCTATTGAATCTTCTAATGCTTACCAAGGGTTGGTGTTTCTGTTGCCTCCTGGCCCCCTTTCAATCTGGCCTCCACATTTGCATGTATGCTTTGCAGATTGTTATAATTTGGAGAATAAAAAAAATATGCTGGTGTGTAAGAAACGGTTTGCATTTCCAAAGTGTCAGCATTGTTTGTTCCAATACTAAATGTTTTTATTCCTCTGTCTCTAAGCATTTGAGCTGGTCCTCTGACATCATCCCCTGACCGTCCACCACTAAAAATGTACAGATACTGGGGAACGTTATTTGCTTTCCTGCCTCCAACTGAAGCAGTGAAGACATTGTCACCGACAAAAGTCAGCGCTTTTCCAATGTTGAGAGGTCTTCCTAGCTTATGCCTCATTGTTTTGATGGAATTCAGCACATCATTCAGGGATGAATATGAATTTAAGTAGAAATTGACTGTGGCATCACGGCTGTACTGAACAACTGCTACTTGATCTTTGTTATTTCCCACGTTTAGGTTTTCAACCACTTTTGCAATAAAGTCTCTTATTTCTTCAAATTTGTTTCGTGAGTCATACGATCCATCAATTAGAAAAACGATATCACTTCTCTTAGAATCTACAAAACAGATTAAAAAAGTTAATCAATGGTTCATTTTCACCAATTACTAGACATGTTGCCACTTGGCATCATTACTTTCAATTACACATTTTCTTCTTACAAAAACTATTTTTGTAAAAAAAAAATCAAATAAATTTAAAAAGTAAAAACCAAACATCTTACCAAAGACCACTTTGGGATCATTGTGCTCAGTTTGTTGTGAAGCTTCTCTTAATAATGACAGCACATCTTGTTTAGTGGAAATAAGTTTCCCATAATCAGTAATTGAGAATGCATACTTGGGTTCATGGGATATTGACTGAAGCTGTAGAGTGTCCGCATCAATAGTTCCAATAACAACTGATATAACACCAGAATTCTTCAGGTTTCTGACTTGAGTTCTTATGTCATCTCCAGATCGTCCACCAATCAGTAATATTAGTATTTGGGGAACTCTCTCTTTGAGCCTACTTCCAGACTCGGGGAGAAATGCATGCTCTCTCACATACTTGAGAGCAGCTCCAATATTTTTAGGTGAACCTCCTTTGTGAGTCAGATCCCTCACTTTCTCTAGCACGTCATTCTTTGTTATGTAACGGCTCAGGCTGAAATCCATGTTGGCTGAGTTGCTGTACTGAACCACAGCCACACGATCTTTTCTTGAATTAATGTTTAGGTCTCTCACAATTCCCTGTACAAATTCTTTTATGTCTGGGAACCTTTTCAGAGAATCATCAGAACCATCAAGCAAAAATACAATATCTCTTCTGTTGGGATCTGGAATCACATTGAAGGTACACAACCTTGGTGATTAGGACCCTTTGATAAAAAAATTTCCAATCATTATTTAGCTAATAATCATGCAAAAACTACTTGTGCTGTTTATTCTGCATTTTTTTATGTTCTGGAAAAATACGAAAATATCATCTTATGCTTAGTGAGTAAAAATCCACTATCAACGCCACGTTGATAGTGGATTTTTACTATCGTTCAACATAATTCAAAGTACATAATTTTTTTGTCTACAACATTTTTGCACCAGGTTGTTCATGCAGTATATAAAATACATTACTATCTTACCATATGAAATCGATGTGATAGCAGGCTTTTCATTTGTCTCAAGTGCTGACATAACTTGTTGTTCCAGGTCTGGCAGATCACTGAAGTCAGTTGCAAGGAAGGCACGACTGGCTTCCTGTGAAACTGACTGTAACTCATTAATATCAGCATTTTGTATTCCCATTGCAAAGACTGTCACACCAGTTTCTTTCAAGTTTCCTCCAGCATTTCTGGCATCATCACTGGACTGTCCTCCAGTAAAGAGAACAAGTATTTGAGGGACACCTTCATTGCGCCTACTTCCAGAGGAGGCTGTTAAAATATTATCCATGACATAATTCAGGGCTGCACCAGTATTTAGGGGTGCCCCACCCTTATGCCTCAGACTTTGCACATTTTCCACAACACTTTGCTGTGTTTTGTGGGTGTTTAAATAGAAATCAGCAGAGGGTTGTTTGCTGTATTGCACCACAGCAACACGATCTCTGTTTTGATCTACATTGAGTGTCACCACCACTTTCTCAACAATGTCACGCACTGCTTCAAAATAGTTCTGCATGTCATCAGAGGAATCCAATAAAAACACAATATCTCGTTGAATTGATTCTCTCTGTTTCGTAGAACCTTAATAGACAATGAGTTAGACATGAGGATGCTGACACAAAATACACAAATAGACAGATATTTGCAAAGTCTTACCTATTGTACTCAGTGGTTTTACTCTTGGCTGCTGTCGTGGCACCCTTTTCACAAATGATACAATTTGTTGATGAATGTTTCCAATGTCATTGAAATTAATTATGGAGAATGCATAGGAAGGGTTATGCGCAATCACTTGAAGCTCAATTATATCAGCTGTTCTTGTGCCAACACAGAACGGAACTATTTTTTGCTGCTTTAGGGCAACAGCAGCACCAGCGACATCATCTTTTGATCTCCCCCCACTCAACAGAATCAATATTTGAGGGATGCCTTCTTTGCTCCGACTCCCAGATGAATCAGCAAAAGCTATATTCCTGACATAGTCAAGCGCTGCACCGGTGTTCCGAGTTCTGCCACCTTTATGGTTTAGCTTTTGGATTGCCATAAGAACATCTTGTTTTTCCACATAGCGTTTCAAATTAAAATGTGTCTGTGGATCGTTGCTATACTGAACCACAGAAACACGATCGTTCTTCTCACCAATCTGAAGTGTTTGAACAACTTGTTGGACAAACATTTTCATTGCTGGAAAGCCACTGAGTGTGTCGTCTGATCCATCCAACAGAAACACTATGTCTCTTTGCAGGGACTCTAATTCAACTAGAAGACAATGGGAAAAACCTGTTTAAGAATTAGACATCTAAACTGAAAAATTGAAGATACTGTCTAACTGTAATTAGATGAAACAAGGCCGGTAAGAACATAAACAAGTCAACCTAGTAGGAAAACATAAACAGAGTAACTAAAATAGTGTCACATGCCAGAATACTTTTGATAATTGTTAGATAGAGAAGAATATTCCTCTTTCACAAATGAAAAATGTAAAAAGCTATAAAAAAAAAAGATAAAGATTGATTTACTATAACCATCCCGTCAATGATGTAATTATCATTGGCTCAAGGAAGAGCTTAAGAAGGAAACACGCTCTGAGGCACCACAAGGAAAAGAATAAGAACAAAACAAAAAGGCAAACAGCCTCCATAGTCTCCACAAAAGGAGACTATTTAAGGAACATGAAACTGATCGACTGATGTTCTCAAGAGTATGATGCCGTTTTATCACCAATCAAGAACATTAGCACACTTAGAGAACGATTCAGTGCAAGTCAAAGACTTACGAAAGGACCATATGTATAGAGTTGAATTCTCAACGACAGCTCTGAGACATTGCTTACCCATAACAGTAGGATACATTGCATTTGTTTTTCTGCCTTGACGAATGCAGCTATTTCTGGCTGAACAGACAAAAGTTCCCCAAAAATAGGCAAATTATAAAGATATTTAGAGGAGTAAGCAATCTTTTCTAGCTCCTCCTGTTCCACATCTTTTATTCCAATGGCAAAAGAAAGAATCCCACTTTGCTTCAGGTCAAATGTAGCACTGGAAACATCATCGGTGGACTTGCCTCCAATTAGTAAAAAGAGAATTTGAGGAACTCCCTTAAAGCGTCTACTTCCAGTTGAGGCAGTAAATACGTTGTCTTGCATAAACCGCAGAGCAGCTCCCGTGTTCCGAGGTACTCCTCTTCTATGTTTAAGAACTCTAACAGCATGAATCACAGCCTGTTTTGATCTGTGAGCAGTAAGGTTTAAATGAACTTTTGTGTCATTGCTATATGTTGCAATGGCTATTCGCACTATATCCTTGCCTACGTCCAATTCTTCTGCCATTCTTCTGACAAATTATTGAAAAGCCGGGAATCCATTTCTGGAGGCATCTGACCCGTCAAGAAGGAACACGATGTCCCTTTGATTGCTCTGTATGTCAACTGGTTTTTACATGGACAGATAGAGAGAAGATTCAAGAATTTTTTAAGATGTTCATCTGATCAAGCATGTTTTTGAGAAATTTAGATTCCCCGTGAAAAAAACAACCAACAGAGCAAGGTATGAACTCTAGCCCTGAAAATATGTCTTCTACAGAAAACCATTAATGAAAATATTTGGTATTTGAGAGGAATTGTTACAGGAAGCTCAAATTATAGAGACATAGGTAAAATAACTTAAAGAGAAATAAAGAGCATTTGATTTGCCGTTAAGAGAAATCAGAAAGCAAAAAATAATTTATCGTGTTAGTTGTTAGACTAAGAATTAGAGAATTAACATAGATTTCAGGGGTTACAAGTAAAAGAAATGTACCAAAAAAGCACATGCTAGTCAAACAAAAAATGTGAATGCGATGTTCTTACCTACTAAGTCAGGAATTCCATTACCGGTTTCATCTTTGACATTGTTTACATTCAGTGTATGAACAATTTGTGATTGGATTGAGGCAAGTTTGGAGAAGTCAGCGACTTTGTATGCAAAACTGGGCTTGAATGCAATCTTTTCCATTTCTTCCGTATTGATATCTCCAACTCCAATCCCTACTGACATAATCTCATGCTCTTTTAGGGCAAAGGCTGGCCCTCTCGTATTATCTGTTGATGGTTTGCTACATAGAAGAATTAGAATTTGTGGTACCCCTTCTAGCCTTCTACTTCCTGTGGAGGAGGTGAAGACTCTGTGCCTCACAAATTGTAAAGCTGCACCAATATTAAGACGCCTTCCGCCTTTGTGCATTAAATCACTGATGGCATTTAGGTGGTCAGTTTTTGTCTTGTGAGAATTTAGATGGAAGCTGACCTTTGGGTTATCAGCAAACTGAACCACAGACACTCTGTCTTGATTTTCATCAATATAGAGGTTTTCCACAATGCTTTTAACAAAGCGTTTTATGTCTGAGAATCCATTTCTGGTATTATCAGAGCCATCCAGTAAGAACACAATATCTCTTTTAATGGCATCATTTTTCACTAAGACACAAATGAGGTTTGGTTATTTTGACACAGCACAGTGAAATCATGAAGAAATATTCAGACTTTTTAAATCAAGTTTTTAAGAGATTCAAAATAAAAAAGGGTGACATTTTTCTCTTACCTTTTTGAAGAAGGATTGTCAGCTCTTCCTTTGGAAGGCTCACATAAGTATTGAGCCTTTCTGGTATTGTGTTAAGGTCAGTGAATTCTTTTACACTGAAAGCAAAGGAGGGGTTGTGTGAAATAGCCTCAATCTGCTTCGGGTCTGCATTCTTGACACCAACTCCAAATGGTACTACTCCTTCTGTCTTGAGTTCACTTGCTGGCTCTTTGACATTATCCATTGATCTGTCTCCAGCCAGAGCAATCAGAAATTGGGGCACATTTTGAGCAGATCGGCTGCCATAGCTCTCAGACATGATGGTGTTCTTCATGAATCTCAAAGCAGATCCTGTGTTTAAACTCCGTCCACCTGCCAGTGTCATCTCATTGACAGCTCTCATTACCTCATCTTTGGTTTTATAAGTGTTAAGGTAGAAACTTGGGGTCGGTCTCTCACTGTGCTGAACCACAGACACTCGTACCTTGTCAATCCCAACATCCAGTGGCTCTATCACTCTTCGGATAAAGTCCCGAATGTATGGAAAATCTGCACGAACACTATCTGTCCCATCAATGAGAAAAGCAACATCCCTTTCAACTCCAGTCAGGGTATCTAAGGAAAAACATATTTAACTGGGTGATGCTTTTTATCATATATTAAACAAAGACGGAAACAGAAAGATAGCACTTACCTTCTTCTATTTGTGTAACATCGGTATCACCAACCACTGTTGTTAGCTTTGGCATGATGACTTCAGCCATGGCTGGAAGATCTGAGAAACTTTTTTGATGGTAAGCTAATTCTGGAACAAAGGCAACTGACCTCAGTAAGTCTTCATCTGCTTGTCCTGAACTTACTGTGAAAGTCAAAACACTGGCCAAAGCCAGTTTATCGGCCACAGACTTAAGCTGATCTTGGGCTGGGCCACCTGTGATCAGAACCAACACCTGCTGAACTCCGTCCCTCCTACGTGACCCAGCTGAAGATTGGAACATATTGGCCAAGGCATAATTCATAGCAGCTCCTGTATTCAACACTGAGCCTCCCACCAGTCTGAGTTGAGAGATTTTATCCACAACATCTTGCCTGTTTCTGTAGGTGTTCAGGTAAAATTCTATCCTCGGCCGGTCTGAAAACTGCAGGAGACCAATTTGGACCCTGTCAGGGCGAATATCCAGCTGGTTGACCACGTTGATCATAAAGTCTCTCACATATGGCAAGTTGCTGCTTCCAACGTAACTTGAACCATCCACAAGGAAGACAATGTCTCTTATCACTTTTTGTGTTTGTACTGTTGTGATTTCCACCACTGTTAAAAGACACCAATATAAAATAATTATTCTCTTTGTAACAGCATCAACAATCACTTTAAATGTTAATAAACCATGAAAAGTGAAGTGAAAGTCTCCTTTAGTGATATTCTGAACTGTTGTTTTCAAACTATTCTAAGCAAAATTAGGATTTATGTTAAACTATTTTCACAGCAATTCAATTTAAATGCAGGGAAATAAAAACCCTAAGAGAAAAATAGTGGTCAACTAAGACAGTGCAAGCTGACTTTATTGTATGTTATTTTTACGTAGTCCATCCGAACATGTTTGCACATCAGCACAGTTTTTATCACATTGACGTATCTTAGAACCTGCCCGATGTCAGCTGGGATAGGTTACAACAGCCCTGAAAGCCTGGTTGGAATAAGTGGTTTAGGGAATGGATGGATGTATAAACTTGATCTTAAATTTTGTTATCTTGTTTGGAAGTGTCTGCATATTTTGTTTTCATTTACTTTACTTTTACTCCATATGTGTATTCATCAAAGCTCAATGTTACAGGATTACCTGGTTCAGTGGGTGTTTCAGTTACTAAAACCCCAGCAAGAGTCGATAGTGCGTCAATAATTTCCCTTGGGTTGCGAAAGAGCTGGCGGAAGTCCTTTGGCATGAACACAACTCTGTCGGCAAAGGCAATCTGCTTTAGCTCCGCCTCATCAGCAGCCTTTGAGCCTGCAGCCAGAGTCAGTACACCCATTCTCTGAAGGGCCAGAGCAGGTTCCTCCACGCTGTCACTGGATTTCTTACTGGTCAACAAGAGAACAAGCTGCGGTACCCCCTGCTTAATACGACTACCTGACTCAGGTCGCAGCATATTCAACCGCACAAAATCCAAGGCTGATCCAATATTTACAGTTTGTCCTGCTCTTGGTTTGATTGCACCCAGGGCAGCAGTTAATGCCTCCCTGGTTTCGTGTGTGTTGAGGTCCATCTCGACTCTCGGCCCAGTGCTAAACTGGGCAATACCCACTTGAACTGCATCTGGACCAATAGGCATTTTGTTGACAAACCGCCTGATGAATTCACGCAAACCATTGATGACAGCTGTTCCCATTGTACTGTCAATCAAAAAGATGATGTCCCGTTTTCCAACTGCCACAACTGTAAAAAAGAGAAAAAATATGTCTAAAAATTTTAAACAGATTTTACTTTTTTATTCATAGAAATGCCTTTAAAGTATAATGTTGTGTTATATTTACATTTTTATATTTATTTCAAAATAATGGTAATAGTTTACAGAAATGAAGACATAAAAAAGTTTTACCAAAAGATTTACCCACAAATGAAATAATATTTGTCATAGTTTACATGTCAGTTACTAGTCTTTTGGAGAATGCTGAGTTTTGAATATTTTCATTCAAAGTTTATACCTAAACTAACTTCTTAAAATTCAAAGATATGCAGGTCAAAGTTGAAAATTAAAGATATGCATTACAAATAGCCCTGCGATGGACTGGCGGATCGTGTACCCCGCCTCTCGCCCATTGACTACTGGGATAGGCTCTAGTCTACCCGCAACCCCATTACGGAATAAATATACTGGATGGATGGATAGATGCATTACAAATAAAAGTGGCTCGTGATGACTCCGGACAAGCCAGACAAGATGCCTTTCTGTTGTTTTATTTGAAGCTTGAACCTATAGAGGCAGGGATGCTGTGTATAAAATGCACTACAGCAATGCAATCATTTGTAGATCCTTTAAATACCATATAAAAAGTGTTTTTTGAAAGTGGTTTCGGTTGTTAACTCAGTTTAAAATACTTAGGATTTTGATGAACTTTTTTGTAATAAGCAGGCTGTTGCCATAAATCTGATCTGATACAAAGCTATTTGTTTTTTATGGTTTTTCATACTTCTTCACTGGTTTTAATTTTCATCATAGTGAACTAAAAAAAATGCAGTGTGATCAAACATTGGCTAAAGGTTCATAAAAATTGGTCCTGGTGTTTCTTATTCCATTCAGAATATTATTTTCATCATGAAGACATTAATGCTTTCTGTATCAAGTTTCCTTTCACAATCAAAATATCTCAACAACAGAGATGTTACATACCTTCAGTGTACTCATTCTGAACTATAATGGTGCGTTGGACCACGCCGTTAATGAATGGAAGGAGTTGACCAACAACGTTTGTAACTACTTGGAAATCAGGGACCATGAGGACAAAACTTTTATCCGTGGCAACCTCTTGCAGAGCTGCAGTTCCAGTGTCACCAATCGCCACACCAAATGTGATGACGCTGGCCCTTTTAAGGGCCCGATCGCCAACACCGGTATCATCATCTGATGGGCCAGCACTGATAATAATCAACATCTGGGGCACACCCTCATCTGCCCTGCCCCCAGCTGTTTCACTTAAAAGGCTTTCAGCCACTTCCTCCAAAGCAGCCCCCAGGTTAGATTCATCACCCCCTGAATAAGTCAGGCCTTTCACAGCTTCCAAGAGAGATGATTTGCTGTAATAGCTATTTAGATAGATCTTTATCTCTGGGTCAGAGTTGTACTGGACCAAGGCAACCCTAATGGTGTCCCTGCCCACATCAAGGCGCTCAATGATTCTCAAGACCAAATCACGGACATAGGGGAAGTTTGCTGCTCCAACGTTCTGAGATCCATCAATTAAGAGTACAAGGTCAGCTGAATCTTGTGCTTTAATGAGAGAGAGAGAGAGAGAGAGAGAGAGAGAGAGAGAGAAAGAGAGAGAACAAAACAAAATAGAAATTGTGAAAGCATTAATATAGTGAGATGAAGATGGACATCAATCAGAAAATTAGAATTAGCAAATCACAGCATGTGTGATGTAACATTCTCAGTGAACAAATAACATTGCAAAACACATCATACTGCATGTGGGCTGAACCAAGGAGATTCCTTAAATGAGGTCTGTAAATCTGTAAAATTTGCTTTGAATCTTATTCAACCATTACTTGAGTCACACTATAACCTGTCATATATGAACACACATTGTCAAAAAAGTGTGCTTACCACCCCAATATAGTAGGTTCAAGTTGGCAAATGCCAAGATTGCAGGTCTGGACACTATTACAGTTGTCAATATGTGAGAGCCATGTTACAACTTTGACAGGCTGCCAGTGTCACACAGACCATACATGTTTACACTCATTGCTAGATTTCGAGTCCCCAGTTAACCTTAGATGCATGTTTTTGGGCAGTTTAAAGAAATCCAGAGAAAATAAGAATGCTTTGGCTGTGAAGCAATGATGCAAACTAATTTAAAGAATGCAGCACAAAATTATAATGAGCCTATTTTGTGATGTACCAATTTGGGGAGACCAAGTAAAAAAGAATATCTTAACTAATCATAGTATATTGAGAAGTTTGAGTCAAAATGAAAGAAACAATCAATGAAAGTTCAATAGCTTTCAAGCAAAGTGAAATATAAAATAATGCACCAAATTTATTTTAAACTCTTATGTAATTTCTACTAAGTTCAGCCATCCCATGCAGACTCTTGTTACAGACCTCAAGTGACCAGTTATGACCCTGTGGACCATCCTTGCCAACAATCTTTAGAATGTGAGAACATCTCAAACATAATTCCATATGCATGATCTTATGTACATATACATACGATCAGCAGGAACATGTTTTTTGGTTATGCATGATTTTTTTAATCACATGTACTTTCAATATCTGTTGACATTTTACATGTCTATTTTATTACTCCTTTTTCCAGCTCCTCTTTGCTTCGTAACAGAACTGGGAATTGTACATACACAGTATATCATAAAAATGTACTGTGATCATTTGGCAGGACACGGAATACTCCAGGGAGGGTCATTACTGTTTCATATACAAAGTGTTGCACATGTTTAACACAGACATTGTGATTGATAAAGACAAACACACGAACAGGTCACATAAGCATTTGTGCAGGTTAGATTGTTGTTAAAAGCTTGATATCTACCTTTGAGTAGCGATGTTTTAAAACATTAAGCACTCCAGATGTTATGTTTTTGGCCAAAGATCTCAAGAAGATATTTTGTTAATTGGGACTCTCATTACACAGGAACCATAATCTACTCCAACACGAAAAAGCATTATAAGAAAATGCTGCCTTTAAACATGACTAAATAATAGAGGTATTTCATTAGAGGACTGAAACATTCCTAATTTCTAAAGCACCCTCAGCAGATTATATCACTATCAATAAAAAATCTGTATCAACATATCCAAAACCCTAACCTCAAAAAGCCATGTTAATGTTAATGACATGCAATTCTTATTGAGATATGAAAAGTATTGCGGTTTTGTATAGTGAAAGAGAACAAGGTTAATCTCTCATGTGAAATGTAGTGTAAAAAAAGTTAATAGGAGTAATTATATATAGTCATGATCACATATGCAGCAGTTTCTTTCTGCACATGGAGACACGTTAGTATAATAGTGACACTGGTTCCATTGTATTACCTGTCATTCCTCCAGTTACTGGAGCCTCATTTGCCACAGGAGCATCACCTGACTGTGCGATTGTGCTGCAAAGACTTATTACTAAATTGGGGACTATATCCTGCAGCTTGAGGGCAGAGTCTACATTGAATATGTGATTATCTTGAGGCTGGCTTGCCATTTCCCTGAGCTCAGAGTCCACTGCATCCTGAATTCCAACTGTAAAAATCACCACGCCTGCCATCTTCAGCACCATAGCTGGCTCTGCCACATCATCCTGAGACTGCCCGTCTGTTACCACCACCACCACTTGGACCACCCCATCAGCAGCACGGCTGCCAGAAGCCTTGGTCATGTGTGTACTTAGCAGGTACTCCAAACCCAGTCCAGTACGGGTGCCCCCACCACGGTAAGACATGGCCTTGACGTGTGCCAGGGCTTCCAGAGATGAGTAGCTGTTGAGGTGGAACTCAGTTTCCGGCCTGCTATTGTACTGTATAAGGGCAAATTTAAATCTCTCTTCTCCGAACTTGTGCAGTGATTTTATCAAGCTGTACAGAAATTGTCTGATGTGTTCAAAGTTTTTCTCTCCCATACTCCAGGATGAATCCACTAGAAAGTACGTATCAGCTGCCAACCCTTGTGCACAATCTTCAGAAAGGAATATTTGAAGGACAACAGTGAAGACGAGTAAAAACATGCTTGGTGCATGGTATCAGTTATTTCTATGTAAACATTATGCTTTACAATTCAATTGAATTAAATTCAGTTTTTTTTATATAGCGCCAAATCACAACAACAGTTATCTCACTGCGCTTTCCAAAAAGAGCATGTCAGACCGTACTCTGAAGTTATTTACAGAAGTCCAACAATTCCAAATTCCAATTTACAAAACATAACTGTACAAAACATAACTTTAATGTTTGTATTGCGTAGGGTCAGTCAACTTTTTGAGAAAATACTTCTGTGCTCCAACACAATAAAAGTGCTGCACAATAATACAATATTCTGTCTTTAAAAGTTAATCAAGAATTTTCTTTTGAATGTGTCCTTTATCATTTCAAAGTTATTTTTAATGTTAGTCCAAAAGTACAGACTAATGTAGAAAGAATACATTTTAGATACCTTTAAGATTGTGACAATATTATTCAGTCTGTTTCACCATTGTACTTTTCCAGAATTTAACTAGCTCTTCTTTGAAGAGCTAGCTAATCATCACATCACCATCTATCCTGAGGCTATTTACAGTAAACCATTAGACAAATGTAACATTCTAAAATGATCTTAAGAAAGGACAGGGGGTAAAGGTGTGCATGTAAACAGTCCTGGTTTCTCGGTCTTTATGGTGAGTCTTTTTTATTCGATTTTCCATTTTGACTGCAGAAACATAGTGTGCTCAAATGTTTCAAGAATATGCGCAGATGATAAAAAAATACCCTAATATTTGGCAGTTTTATTTTGAGAAACACTATTCTTTACTTTTTTTTTATTCCTCACTCAACTCTGTCCCCACACATCATTTCATCATGTGATGACCCCTTCATCTTTATTTTTTAAACATATTTGAAACCATAGTTCCAGAATGATTTTTTTCAGTTATCAATCCACTGTTTAATAACCACTTTTTAAATAATAAAAATATTCATTCTAACAATACAGCTAGTAATATTTCAGTGCATGGCAAATTAAAAAAGTGTTCATTAATTTTCAGAATACCAATAAAATGTCTCAGTCTTGAAACTTTGACATGTGATTTGTCAAACCAATTTAAACAGCTTTTATTAATGTTTACATATATTTATCCATAAACAGTTTTATTCATATGTTGTTACTTGTTATACAGCAGAATTGTAGCTGAAATAGGAAAAATCTCTTAGCTTACCTTCCTGTGCATCCAGTTTAGGTACAAGTCCTGCAAGCAGGACTCCCAGAAGGGCACAGAGTGGTAAGAAATTATGCCTCTTCATCATCAGGTGAAACAAAGACACCTGTAAAAAAGCAGATAGAAAAAAATCCTTTAAACAAAATTACCAGTCACTTCCATCAATCACGTACTTCGATTTGTGTCATTATGAAACATCTGCTACATTTTTCTTTAGGAATTTTTTCTTTTATTTGCTTAAAAAAAAAACAATGTTTCCAGTTAACATCTATACATACATATATTTTTGTAACCGCCTATTCCCTAATGGGGTCGCGGGGGGACTGGAGTCTATCCCACTAGTCAATAGGCGAGAGGCAGGGTACACCCTGGACGGTCCATCAGTCCATTGCAGGGCCACACATATACAGTCATGGCCAAAAGTTTTGAGAATGATGCAAATGTACAAAAATTTACAAAGTCTACTGCTTCAGTTTTTTACGGCAATTTGCATATACTCCAGAATGTTAAAAAGAGTGCTCAGCATAACAGCAATTAATTGCAAAGTCAATAATTGCCCAGAAAATTAACTTTATCCCCCCCCAAAAAAACAATGTCATTGTTGCCAATAAGGCTCCAGGGCGCCCAAGAAAGACCAGCAAGCGCCAGGACCGTCTCTTAAAAGTGTTTCATCTGCGGGATCGGGCTACCAGCAGTGCAGAGCTAGCTCAGGAATGGCAGCAGGCAGGTGTGAGTGCATCTGCACGCACTGTGAGGCCGAGACTCTTGGAGCAAGGCCTGGTCTCAAGGAGTGCAGCAAAGAAGCCACTTCTCTCCATGAAAAACATCAGGGACAGACTGATATTCTGCAAAAGGTACAGGGGGTGGACTGCTGAGGACTGGGGTAAAGTCATTTTCTCTGATGAATCCCCTTTCCAGTTGTTTGGGACATCTGGAAAACGGCTTGTTCGGAGAAGACGAAGTGAGCGCTACCACCAGTCTTGTCTTATGCCAACTGTAAAGCATCCTGAAACCATTCATGTGTGGGGTTGCCTCTCAGCCAAGGGAGTCGGCTCTCTCACAGTCTTACCTAAAAACAGCCATGAATTAAGAATGGTACCAGAATGTCCTCCGAGAGCAACTTCCCCCAATCGTCCAAGAGCAGTTTGGTGATGAACAATGCCTTTTCCAGCATGATGGAGCACCTTGCCATAAAGCAAAGGTGATATCTAACTGGCTTAAGGAACAAAACATAGATATTTTGGGTCCATGTCATGGAAACTCCCCATATCTTAATCCCATTGAAAACTAATGGTCAATCATCAAGAGACGTGTGAAAAAACGAAAACCTAGGAATTCTGACAAAATTCAAGCATTGATTGTATTTCTGTATGTGATGACAACATCTGACATACACACATGAAAACCAGAGGGCAGCAGATCATGTGTAAATATAATATTTGTGTCATTCTCAATACTTTTGGCCACGACTGTAGACACACAAGGACAAACAACCACTCACGCTCAATCTTAAGGACAATTTAGAATGTCCCAGAAACCTAACGTGCAGATTTTTGGATGGTGGAAGGAAGCCAGAGAACCCAGAGAGAACCCACACAGACACAGGAAGAACATGCAAACTCCACACAGATTGGTCCTGGTTCCCCCGGGGACTTGAACCCATAACCTTCTTGCTGTGAGGCAATGGTTCTAAGCACCACACCACTGTGCTGCCCTTCCACTTAACATTAAAACTTTTTTTTTTCTGTGAAAAAACATGTAAACACACTACTGATTGTTTTTGGAGTCTATCCCATGCTTACATCTCGACCTATATTCATGGAGTCATCTTGTAAGCATGGCAACACAAAATGTTTTTACCTTCATGATACTTCCAGTCTAATATATTATTTAAATATAAATATGTTTATAACATTTCAGAATTGAATTTATTGTAATACATCAAAATCCAATTAGTTTGCCTCAGTTACCTGGAGTTTGAGAGGACAGAAAAGAGGGACAACAAATACCACAACAGCTGCTCAGTGTCACCCTAACCCCAAGATTGTTTTTTTTAAATGGAAGGTTTGACATAAGAGAGAGACAAATATTGGTAGCTGGTTCCATTAGAGACTCTACCTAAGAGACTCTACTTCCAAATCTACCTTTAGAAACTATAAGACCTGCAGCCTGAGAGTCCAGAGCTCTTTTAGGAAAAAATAAATCTAATTATAAAGTCTTGAAGAGATGGAGCTTGGTCATTCAGAACTTTATACACTATAAGAAAATGGATGTACACACCCATCCAAATAATTGAAATAATTTGTTTCAACCATTTCGATGGCCACATGCGTTCAAAACAAGACACATAAGCAATAAGACTGTTAATTAATTTGTGAAAAATCTGTTTGCTCTCAGGAGTTTCACTTTTCTTTTTTTTCTTGGCACTTCCACAAGGTGCTGGCCCCACAAAACAGTAAAAACGTTGGCACATAAACAGCCATGGTTCCATTAGGGCTGAGTAGGGCCAAGTGCCTGTAGCTGATTGGCCAGAGAGTCATATGATTAGATAGTGATTCAGTCAGGTAAACCGCACAGCAACAACAAATGTCCAATTTAATTTTTTTTCATCATAAAAACTGTAAATGCCAAATAATTTAACCAACACCGTGGTCCATCACCAAGCGTTTTATTCATTGTTGTCTCATCTTGTGTCGCATATGAATGACGTCATGCGTCCGTTGGCCATGATTTGCGTTGGAAAACCAACTAAACAACGTAGAGCCATACCAGGCCAAACAGATTATAAAATCATCTCAAGTGCCATAGCAGCTAAACTCAAAGACTGAATTTCACACATAATTAGTGAAACTCAATCAGGATTCATGAAAGGAACATCTATTTATAACAATATTAGACTTGTTTTAGACAGTGACTAGATTAAAGTGACTTGATTGCTGAAAGTGGGTAAATCGAATGCTTTGTAAAAATCTAAGAAAAACTTAGATTTTTACAAAGCATTCGATTCGGTTGAACATACCTTCATCTTTAAAACACTTAGTCATTTAGGATTTGGGGAAAAATACAGGAATTTGATCTAAGATGCTTTATAAAGACATAAATAGTTTGGGAGCCTTAAGTCATGGAACATGTAACAGATTCAACATTAATAAGGTTGTGGAAGTTCACTGTTACCATACATAATAGTTGCAGAGATACTGTCCATTTTAAATTTAAGAAATTGAATAACTGGAATTGATGTAATTAGAAAGCAAATAATGATGTCAGATAGCTGTTGACACAACACTTTTTTTTTAAAAGGGAAGATCAAATCACTTTAGCACCTCAGCTCTTCAAACCATAAACTTGTTTTCTAGGGCCTCTGTACTTCAACTAAAGTCAAATACATGTGAACAATTTTCCTTGAAAGATCACCCAGCACAATCACTATTTAACATAAAGGTTAAAAAAAAAGGGTTAGGGTTATGGTTACATATATATTTTGGAGTAGTAATAACAAAGTAATAACAAAGAACACAAGAAATATTTGGAGCAATATTGACAAATAAGTAAGTTGATTTTAAGTAGGTGGCCACAGAAGGACATATCAATCTTTGGTAGGATTTTAATTTCATCTGGAGGATTAAAAATCACTACATAAGGAAAGATGATCTGATTAAATCTTATAAAGACTGTGGAGAAAAAGCAATACACTTTCAAATTAATAATAGTCATTTAAAACTGAAATAGCTCTTTTTTATCAATGATAACCTTTCAATTTGGTCATATATACCAAATTTGTTATTTTATAAGATAGGAGGACTCCATCCTCTTTTACAATGATACAGTAACTAATGAGACATTGGGAGTGGATTCACATTCACTCCCAATGGCAATTTGAAGTTATCAATTGACCTAACATGCATGTTTTTGACTGTGGAAGGAAACAACCAAGCACACATGGGAGAATAAGCTAAATCCCAAAATAGAGGACCTCAGCTGTGTTTAAGACAGTAACCCTGTTGCTTTACAGGTGACAGTGCTAACAACTATCAAGAATTTGGCAATTTAAATTTATTCTGTCCTCAGTTTCCAACAGTAGCAGATTCTAACTGTTGAAAGTGTTGGTCTACAGTATACACAACAATGATCAAATAACAAAAAAAAATCTGTATATGCTTAGACTCCTAGGATTTGCATCATGTAACAGAATCTGAAAATTATTTACATTCTGTGGCTTCCAAAAAAGTTCATAAGCCTATGTTAACCCTCTGATGTTGTAAACTCCTTCAGTTTCTATTATCTAAGATTGTAACAAATGGAACAAACCTGCAGGAATCTTTTCAAATTCAATGCAAGGCTGCAATTCTTACCATAATGGCTTCTCTAAGCCAGCTCATATATGAAACTTCCCTTCACTTATAGTGTTGGTGTAGAAAAGAAAGATTATTTAGTATGATCTGCATTTATTCTGTTCATTTTGTCCTTTACATTGTTTATGGTTGCTAACGTAAGTAGAAAAATTTTGTTCGTTGTAAGTTAAAGGGAAAATTCAGCATCATTGTAATGCTGGTAGTAAATTATGTCAAAATATTTTAAACACATAAAACCATATCTGCCACATGCCACTCATAACAGATTATTTTTTATTCTAGCCAAAAATTTGGAAAACTCATAGTTAGCACAAGGGTCAGCATTATGAGAAAAATCTGCATAATAGCATCAAGAAGCAGTCACTCATGACTAAATATTTTGCTCTTCAGTTTATTGTTACTCAGGAATGAATCAAACAATCTGATTCAGAAAAATCCAAGTCACTTTGAAGAACCGTTTTCTCTCTGTTTTAATATTCGAATAAGGGAAGTGGGAGACTAATGGTTTACAAATGGTCCAGAAAAGCCATCACTATCCACTTACCTCTTTTTACTTTTGAAATGATATTATTTTTAATATATTTATCTAATTAAGGAAAGCCACTCGGGTTCTCCATGTGCATTTTTTCAGGAAGATAGAAAACGGCTTCTTCAAATTTTCCAGTCTTGTGTGTCAGATAGGGTGTGGTTTTGTGTAACTGTTGCAGTAGAAATATCTGCCCTTCTCCAGTTTCTTTCTTTTCACTAGTTGATAGTTAAAACTGTAACCATAACTTAAGTTATGACAAAAAACAGCAAAGAAACTTTAACCCGCAAACTTCTGTATACATTTTCTCAACAAAGAAAAAAAGTCTACTTCATCCAAACTGCAGCTCAAGTCTTGCCTTTTGAAACACTCTCCCCACTAAAATATGCTAAACGCATGTACATTTCCAGAGTATATTGCAAAATCAGTGAACAAAGCTATGATCATCACATGCATTATGAACTTAAATGTCATGAATTGGAATAATGCTTTGGTCCTGCTCCATATGCAAAACACAACGCAAGTTGAGGTCAGTCTTAAAGTTGTGAAAGGAAGCAGGCAAACATTTTTTAAAGTACTGCATATTTCAAACTTACGTGAAGTAGTTGTATTCCACTTTAACTGTTGTAGAATATTAGATAATGAGTCGTGTCAAATAAAATAAACTGTACTTTTGATCATTTTTCTTCTAATGAAATCCTCAGGCTGGCTTTTCCACCACCTTCCTCAGGAAGGAAGCTTTGGAGAAAAGTAACAGCAAACTGATAAGGCAGAGTGTTCCTGAATGAAGCTAGAAATACTTGAGACAAGGCACCCTCACGGTCTCAAACCAGAGGAGCAATGGTGCCGAGTTCAAGGCTGGGATGGGAGAAACTTCCAAAGAGCTGGAGGTTTGCCACCTTTTTTTCCTCCTCCCACTTTTTCCAAATAAAGGAGAAAAAAATTCAAGTCGAGCAGAGAGAACAGGGGGAGTGAGAAGTTGGACGCAGGGTTAATGAAATCCAGACCGTCCTGTTTGGTCTGGAAATGAGCAGTGGGAAAGATGATGTCACGAATTTAGAGAGGATTTTTCTCCTTCTACATTTTGCCATTTCTCCTTGCGCCTCTGTTGGGCCCATTTTCCATGAATCATTTTGGGGCAAAAAATACATTTCATTATTCATAAATAAAGGATATTTTGGGGTGTTGTATTATCATTTTCAAGTCAATCACTTGTTTTTTAGAGTGAAATAATGATAAGCTCCGCAATGCTCAACTTCAATGTACAGCTCTGTACCGACTTATATAAAACATTTCCACTGCCTGGACGGCTAATAAAAGCTGGCATTCATGAAGTGAAATTTTTTCAATTCATCTTTAAGGCGTATTAAAGTCCCATTGTATTCTGAGACAGGCTTCAGCCCTCCCGCGACCCTATTTCCCGTTGGGAAAGAGTGGTACAAAAAATGGATGGATGGATCTTTAAGAAGACTAATCTTGCTAGGTATAATCTCTATGATGGTGTACTGGTATGGGTTAAATGTACATGGTGATATAAGCAGGGCTTTCTTTGTATTGCACACATTCTCATATCAATAAACGTATTTCAGGCAGACAAAGGTTCAGTGTTTGTCTTAAATGCACTGTAACATCTGGTCGGGGGAAATTAAGAATCACCAACTAAATTACAATAAACATTAAAAAACTAGTAATTTACACTTATATACACATATTTTTACAAAAAGAATATATTCTTTCATCCTTTTTTGTATAGAGATTATTGGTGATCAAAGACACAACACAATGTGAACAAGCCTCTAAATAAAAATGTTAAATTCTACAGTTTAAAGACACTAAAAATCACTTTATCCAATTTTACTTTATCTAAAAAAAAGAACATGTATTTTGCTATGATCACTAACTGCAATATGTTGCCTTTTTATTTTATTTTCTAATTTTGTGAATTGGTTGGCAGACTTAACCATGTATTCACTTTCCAGAATTCCAGATAATTAGAACTTGGTCAAACGCCATATAGTTTTTATATTTTGGTTAAAGAAAGGTCAACACCTATTCTGAAAGTACAGTAACTGAATCCTAATCTATACCCCTAAACAAGAAGTAAAGCACCATATACAATATAATGTGCTAAAGATGACTGTAAGAGTCCTAAGAGATCACAATTTTCAGTATTATGGTTCAAATGCATTGATGTCGTTATTATATTTAGTTGTCAAATTAATTTCACAATGTTTCCTTCGTGGTAGCATGTTGTTTTATTACACATGCATAAGAACGTAAGTTGTATAACCTTCATCTTTTTTCTGTGATCACAAATTGAGTATCCTCTTGTGATAATATCAGTAAATCTATTTTGATCTAATTGACACTTTAAAATGTTAAAGTGTATTAATTCATTAGAAAGAACTCTATCCTGTTGGAAAGTACTCATATTAGAAAATACCTTTTAAATGCTTTGGTTCAGGCCAAGAAATAACGAATGATGCAACATTTTTCTCCAAGTGAGCTAAAACAGACCGTTCAAAGGCGTCACTTTGGCATAAACTTATCTCCAGTTCCTTGTGCATGTGTTTGAAATAAGTTTTAACACAGATTGATAATCAAACAGTTTAACTATACTCTGCTTTAACATTGCATACCACTTCAGAACCCACCCATTCAAAAAAGGATCCAAGTTGCACCATATGGAAGCATTTAGAACAGTGGTTCAGTTTATCCATGTCCTTATGAGTGAAGGTCATAACTCATACCACGTCACATTTCCTGCACAGCTTTGCGCTGTTTTGATGGTGCTAGGCAACCACTGTTGCCTGCTTTTGGATTGAAAACTAAGATTGGTAAGCAGCCAGCATGGGTCCATGAATCACAAGGATGAAAACTAGTTACAGAATTTGATTTTCTTGTTTGATATGTTTATATGCATGATGTTGTAATATTATAGGAAACAACAGAAGGTTTCATCTCTATCTGATGCCTTGGTACCGGCTGACGAGTACATGCTCACACACATATTTGTGTCTCAGTTTGCTTCTGAGAAGCCTTGTTCTTGTCACGTCTGGGGGAATGTCTGATGTCTCGTCATGTCATGATTACCTATTGTGTACTCCTGGGGTTCCCCTCCCTCATGTGTTTAAATAGTCCTCGTTTCCCCTTGTCTGGTGCCAGTTCGTTTTCGTCCTACTTGTTGCGTCTCTCGTCCCTCGTCTTTCATCTCCCCCCGTCAGGTTTGATTTTTGCCATAGCCATGTTTTGCCTCAGTCTTGTTAATCTTTATTTTGTTACTTTGTCATAGTCACAGTTTTGCCACAGCCGTGTTTTTGACCCTTGTCTGGACTTCCACCTTTTGTTACAATAAACCCTGTTTTTCCGTCATCTCCACGCCTGAGTCCTCCCTTAAAACCCACCTTCCTGACAGTTCTCCTATCAAGCATGATGAAAGAGTTTAATAGAACTGGGAGACATTGTTATCATTGGGATAGATCATTAGGATAGATCTTGAAATCTTATTGTAAACTGTCCTGCCACTAACGGAATGGCAAAAACGGTCACCTTCAAAAGGCCTTGGGTTTATGAAAACTGAAACATATCAAACGCTAACCCTGTTTTTTCTGTTTGCCCATTTCCATGTTTTGAGCTATTCATTTTCAGTGGGTATATATCTCTGTAAGGTGACTCTGCTCAGTGCCCAGTACACATTTTGAGAGTGCCTGGTACACATTTTGAGAGACACCAGTGCCTCTCAATCTGTAATTCTGGCATTTCTGAGTCTGCCTTTGGTTACAGTATTGCCCTGTAAGGAATTAAATGGGGTGATGTCCCACAGCCTGAACACAATGTTCACATCCCTGTGATAAAAAAAACATAGCTACTGGATTCCCCTTGACATTAGTAATGTAAGCAAATATGTAAGTAAACTTTTTCCATAATGCCTTGTGTTCAAGACTGTAAGAAAGATGAGTATTCTCGGTCAATTACTGTGCTCATGCCCCCGTTTTTTGAAGAAATAAAAGCTGTGCCAGAGAAAGGTCCTGCCATCATGTTCCAAAAGGTCTGTGTTCATCTCCATCAGAAAGTCTCATATTATCGACTTTTGCCCTAGCCGCCAGATGGAGTAGACGTGTTAGTCCGCGCTCCCTGACTTTACAACTTATACGTGGCCATTATACAGTTTTAAACTTGTTTTATTTTTGGTTACCTTTACCTTTTGTGTTTTACACCATTTTTGTTCGAGAATGTCGAAAAAATCGAAGAGAGATGACGATGACCTTACCAGTTCCATCATGGTTCTGCTAACAACCAAGCTAGCCGAGCACAAAGAGGCGCTTCTTTCGGAGTTTAAGGAATCATATTCAAAACTTGAGACCAAATTGGACAATTTTCAGACCACTGTTAACGACCACCATCAACGTATTTCCAAACTGGAGGAGTTTGCGAGCTCTGCTGACGGAGATCTGCAGGATGTGCAATCTAAGATCACGGCTATGCTAGCGGACAATGTCAAGTTGAAGGCTAGGCTAACGGATCTTGAAGGAATAAATCGCTGCAACAACGTGCGCATTGTTGGCCTCCCAGAAGACATCGAAGGCCCCCAACCAACTGCATTTTTCTCTCAGATGCTTTTTGAGGTATTTGGGGACAATATTCTCACTTCGCCGCCTGAATTGGATAGGGCCAATTGCACCCTGGCCGCTAAACCGGAGCTTTCTCAGCAGCCATGGTCGGTGGTTGCATCTGAGGTGTGTGTGTGTGTGTGTTTATTGTTGTGCTTTTTGTTGTGTTGTTTGCGTTGTTTTGTCCACCCCCCCCTTTATTTTTCACTCTTCTCTCTCTCTCTTTCCAACTCTCTGTCTCTCCCTCCAGTCATACTTACTCCACTTCACAGCTGTGGACTCGTGTCATCCCGGCCAGGATATTGTCAATGTTTCCTACCTTCTTCAACCTTCCAAATCTTTGGTCTTGAGACATGACTGACAAATGGTAAGATAAGGTTCATTTCTTGGAATGTGAAGTGCTTAAGGAATACTACAAAGCTAGGAAGGGTCATGGCTCCCTTACAGCATATTAACTCATTCGCTGCCAAAGACGTCTATAGACGTCTTTTCAAATCCAACCGCTGACTGCCAAAGACGTCTATAGACGTCTTTTATGTTTTTCAATGCGAGTGGCTTGGGGGACGATCGGCGAAAGTTTTTCCGTAAATATAGGCTTCTAGACAGAGTATGGACTAACAAATTTACCCTCTAGGTAGCTGTGCCACTTTTGATGGGAGATTAGCATAGATTGTAAGCAAATAAAAACAAACGCAATGGTTCGCTATGAGAGAAATGTCGCCGGTGAGACGCACGTCGAAGAAGAACGGAATAAGGTAGAAACAAAATCTTTTTTCCTGATGAAAGAAGAGAGTCTACTCTTTCTTTTGGTGTGTTCGGTGTTTACATAGTCATAGCACAAACTATTCTGTGGCTCTTGAAAAATCAGTCAAAATTCTCAAAAAACTCTGGCAGTGAGCGACTCTCTGTTCTGAAAATGGCTGGCAGTCAATGAGTTAAGGGCGACATATACTTTTTTCAAGAAACACACTTGCGCAACCAGGAAGTGGTGAGGCTTGAAAGAAAGTGGGTCGGGCAGGGGTTCCACTCCACATTTAATGGCACGGCCAGCGGTACTGGTATTGTGATTTGTAAGGACATTCCTTTTGTGTCTATTAATTCTGTTTCTGATCGTAATGGTAGATATGTAACCAATCTTATTGGTTTGTGTCTATGGGCGTAACTGGGATGATAGCCATTTTGTTACAAAACTATTTACATTTTCACCTGATCTGGAGAACCACCATGTAATTATGGGTGGTGACTTTAATTTTGTGCAGGACCCCCTGCTGGATAAGTCGTCTATTAAATCTGCCTCTTCAACCAAA